ATGTGTTCCCTAGACGGGTTCACATCATTTTGAGTTTCCACCTCGACATCTTGAATATCAATCCTCACTTCGTTGTTCACATTTTCATCAACCACATCTTCAACTACCAAAGGGACTTCATCCTCTTGCAACTCAACATCATCATCTAAGATTTGCTTTTTTTGGAGGCATTCACATCACCGCCTCTCCCACTTCTCGTTATTACAACCATGACATGATTGTTTCCACCCTTCGGGTTCACTACCGTATCACTTGGTAGAGTACCCTTAGGGCGAGTATTTAAAGACTATGAGATTTGGCCTAACTGTACCTCTAAATTTCTAATAGAGGTATTGTGGGAAGCCAATTATGCATCCGAATCCGCATTCTTCTTCATCATCTATTCGAACATCATTTCAATTCTACTCATATCACTGCCAGAAGAACTAGGACCTTGAGATAGAAATAGGGGTGGATTGTTCGGTTGTTGGTACATTGGGGGCCTTTGAAAGCCTTGCCCCCGGTTTCCTTGGTTTCCATTGTTCCATCCACCTTGATTGTTATTGACACCCCAATTGTTGTTATTACCATTCCAATTCCCTTGGTTGCCTTGATTGTTGTTCTGATTGCCCCAGTTGTTGTTTTGGTTGCTGTTCCCCTAATTACCATTGTTTTGTTGTTGATTGCCCCAATTACCTTGAGGTCTCCACTGTTGTTGGTTGGAAGAGTTGCCCTGTTGGCCTTGATAGTTGTTTACATATTGAACCTCTTCACTTTTGTCATCATAACCATCATTTTAAAATCCATCACAATCATCATCAAATTGCTAAGAATTCCATTGGTTTTGTTGCCTTCTTTTCCTTCTCTTATTGACAAGCATATTGACATCCTCCTTGGCATTCACTTGGTGAGGGTTTTGGACTTGTTGCAACTGTGCCTCAGCCAATTGGTTCATAGTAGTTGTCAACTCCGCTATAACTTGCTCATGGTCATGCAATTCCTTGTGCAAATGAGTAACCGTGGGGTCACCCCGGGGCATATTTGCTCTACTTTGCCATACAGAAGAAGTGCCAGCCATCTCATCAAGTATATCACATGCCTCATCATACGACAGCTTCATAAAGTTGCCCCCAGCTAGTTGGTTCAATATGAATTGGTTTGTGGTGTTAATACCCCGGTAGAAGGTTTGTTGGATCATAGCCTCAAGTCATATCATTGTTGGGGCATTCCTTCACCATCGTTCTATAACGCTCCCAAATCTCATACAAAGGTTCTGTGGGATCTTGCTTGAAAGCCAATATCTCATCACGCAATGCCGCCATATGTCCCGACAAGAAAAATTTAGCAATGAATTTATCCGCCAACTCATCCCAAGTTGTAATGGAATGGTTGGGAAGTCTCTCGAGCCAATCTAATGCCTTCCCTCGAAGTGAGAATGGGAAGAATCTCAACCTAAGAGCATCCTCGGACACATTCGTCTGCTTGCTCCCTCAGTATGTATCCACGAACCCCTTGAGATGTTTGTAGGCATTTTGATTTGCAGCGCCCATGAAATACCCATGCTGCTCAAGTAAGGTCAACATCACATTGGTTATCTGAAAATTGCCCGCCCGAATTCGGGGTAGGACAATAGCACTCACATAACCCTGGTTCGGAAGTATTCTGAGAGCCACTCTTGGAGGTGGCGGAGGAGGGTCTGGAATATTTTCATTGGGATTAGCATTGGCATTGCGACCTCTATGTTGTCCTTGAGGTACAAGAGGCACCTCATCATCTCCGACATCATCTACCTTCTCCCCCGCAATCACATTTCCAAGAGGGTCATTAGCATTATTCGCTGCCATTTAGTACCTGAGTTGTGACACAAACAAGTTAGTAACAAAGAAGGAAAGAAGAACAATATACAAAACTAACTAAATAGATAGCCAAAACCGTTAGCTCCCCGGCAACGGCGCCAAAAAGTGACTGCGGCCTACTCCGCACTACTATTGAGTAGCGAGAGAGGGTCGGAGCATCTTTTACCCGATTTAGGGTCGGGATCGATTTCCACAGAGAGCTAGAATTTGGAATCAAGTATCTATCTAGTTTAGGATTGCGTATGTGTTCCAAATTACACTTCTAATCATTTTTGGGATTTTTGTTTTACTTCTACTATTATCAACTACAAATGGTAAATGCAACTAGATTAAGCTAAGAGTTAATCTAAAAAGGGTTGTTCAAATAGTTTAAAAGGCACTAGGGTAATGACTTTCACCTAGGTGGTTAATTGACGGGTAATTGAATCTAAGACACGATTGACATAATTGGGGAGTATGATATAACCGTTGCACGATATTACCCACTCAACACCTCTCGGTGGTTCGAGTGATTTTGCCCGAATTGACTTTCTCAAGACCAATTGGGTATGCAAATTTGCACAAGAAACTAGGGTTCAAGTCAGGTATTACTCTCTTGAGGTTTAAACCTTTAATTGAGGCTATCAGTCTCTTGAGTACGCCCCAATTCCTTGTTGGACCAATTTCAGAGACTTAAGCTCTCTTTCTCAAGAAGAGCCCTAGTCAACTAAACACAAACTAGTATTTGTAACCACTAATTCAGCAATTAACCATGAAATTGGCCCAAATATCAAACACCCATAATCAATCTAGCCCTAAAATACAAGACCCATCAATTACCCATACTAGGGTTGAGCCATAACCCTAGCTTATGGGTCTAGCTACTCATAATTAAAGAAGAAAAGCAAGAAATAGATGAAGAACAACTCATATTAATTAATCACTAAGGTAAATAACAAGATTCAATGATGAAAAGTAGATAAAATTGCCCAAAATGGCTAAGAAAGTCGAACCCACGAGCGCAACTACGTTACAAAAACTATCTAATACCCTAAAAATGGGAAAAGAAGCTATTTATACTAAGCTGAAAATTCTGGACAAAAATGCCTCTGCAGGGTTTGTGCGGACCGCACAAAATGGTGTGCGGCCGCACTAGGACTCTGAACTTAAAAATATAGCTCTCTAAACTTGGGCAGTGCGGACCGCACATAATGGACTGCATCCGCATAGGCTTCTAGTGCGGTCTGCATAAAATGGACCGCGGACCACATAGGCTTCAATCCTCAAATCTGGCACCTCTCTTATCTTGGGTTCTGCTGACCGCACTAAATCGAGTGTGGCCGCATTGCCTTCAGTGCGGACCGCATAAAACCTAGTGCGTCCGCATTGCATCTTTGCCTGGAAATCAACCTCTCTGAATCTCCTAGTGCGGACCGCACAGAATGGTGTGCGGCCGCACTGGGCCTGCATTGCCTGAGCTTGTCTTGTCTTTGGCACCTGTGCAAGTTTTACTCCTTTTGAGTTGATCTTTGACATCTTATCACTTTGTTGATTAAACCTGCAATCAAGCACAACTTGTGAGCCTTTTGGGACTATTCTATACAAATTTCTAATCAAAACTTAAGCAAGAAGGAGTATAAAATGTATTAAAATCCCTAGTTATCAATCCCCTACTTCATTAAGAAGTTTTTGAAAGTAAGTCTGCCATCTCCTCTTAATCTGGGAATCTTCCATCAATACTCTACCATCGTCATCCATGATGCATCTCACTTGGTCTATATCTCGAGCTTTCCTCCCTCTCAGCTTGGCCAGCCTAAATAACTTCTTCCCACCGCCTTTTCCCCCTAGTTCCTAGTACATACGACCATAAGCGGCAGTCTTAGCCTCTGTGACCACCAGCTTCGCTTCCTTCCGAACTAAATCTGAAAAAAAGAATCTGATTATGGTTTGGTTTAATCCGGTTTGGTATTAGGTAAAGAAACCCGACCATAATTGGTTTGGTTTGGTTTTAACCAAACCAACCCGACATTACATGTATACAAGTTTTAAAAATATTTTATCCTGAAATATATTTATTATAATATACTTTATACATATTTTTTATAGTTTTCATTTTTAACATATTATTTCAAACTTGGACTTAAAAAATTTCAATGGTCAAATATATTTGATAGCCCATAAAAGTTAGTAACCCGAATAAAGCCAAAAGCAAAAGCAAAAGCAAAATCGATAATAATGCTAACAATAAAAATTCAATTCAATATTAAGAATGACAATGATATTGGATATCTATCTCTTTAGTTTTGCATTGGTTTAGATAGTGAAAATGCATAACTTATTTTTTATAGTTTAGTCATGTAATTAATATTTAGTACTTATTAGTCATGCTAAAATACTTATTTTAATTTAGCATGATTTAGTATTTTTAAATTATGTTCATTTTCATTATAGCTTATTAAGAAATATTTGTTTTATGCGATTTTATTATCTTTATTGTTGCATATTTTAGTACAATATTGTGGATTCATCTCACATTATTTTATGTTATTTTCTTGGATAATATTTTATATAGTTTTATCTTATTAGGACCAAAAAAATATTTGGAGCACAAGTTATATGTTTTGTGCTATGAAGATTTCACCGAAAAAATACGAAAATCCCAACAACTGAAAAATCCAAGAAAAATCGAGATTGAAAAATCCGACTTTTATTAGTTTGGTTTGGTTTGGTTTGGTTTATAGATTTAAAAATCTGACACAATTGGTTTGGTTTGGTAATTGAAAAAACCCGAACTATTCTGACTTATGTACTCCGTTATATAAAAATGTTCTCTCTTTGAACAGTTTAAGCATTAATTTAATATGAACTGGACAAATAGAGATCCTGAGTTCAAGTACAACAACAATAAAAATAAAATTCAGTATAATCTCACAAGTGGATCTTAAGAACGTAATGTGTAGAGACTGTTTCCAGATTATATGTGAGCTAGATTATTTGATAAGACTTGAACTCATACCAGCCGCACTAATAATATTCTTGTATTCTCTTATTTTTTGTTCTATATTATTACATGTTGTATCATTTTAAGTCTTATCAAATAATCAAGCTCACACGTGTAATCTAGTGTCGAAGATATAATTAATTTTATAAAATAATGATCTCTCTAGATTTCTCATAGATGAAATGATTACAGTATTCAACAATAATCACAGAAATAAAATGGTTACTCGCTAAAGTTAACGTTACAAGAAACAAATTATGTATACTAAAATGGTCCAAAACACAAAATACTTGGGAATTCAACTCTTATTATTATGGAGATTAAAAGAAGAAAAAATAGAGGAAATTGCAGAGAAGAAGAATGCTATCAGAAGAAGACTGGCAGCTGCAGAGGTAATTCCATAACCTGTTGTTGCTCCAGTGGCTAGTAGGTGGGAAGAAACCTGCACCCAAATCAAAATTACAAAATAACGCGTTATCTGCAAAAGTTTATGTTCAGTGTACTGACAGTTTGGAGAATTTCTACGATCAGGTTAAGTTTACTTCTTCATGTCAAATCCTATATATATACTTTGATGTGACGTACTCTCAAACTAACATAAAAATACTACTATTTCTTAATATTTTCATTCATCATTAATCATATCATATAATATACAAGTCATTAAAATATCAAATTTCGTACCCACTCAAATAATGTCACTGTGGTACTATAAAGTATTATGAAGATACAATACAAGATATTATTTCATCTTATTAATTCCAGTATTTATTGTTCATATATTCAGAGTTTCACAAAAGATCAAAGTATGTTAACGTACCTTATCACCATAAAATTCAAAGTGAGCCAAGACATCTCCACAAATGTTTTGGCCAGAGATCAAATGAAATATTGTCAAGGCAGTTTGTAGGAATGTGTACATTAATCCAATCACAATTGCAGAGAATGTGTAACTGCAAATTTAATTTACAACCACCAAAAAATTCTAACGAGAATTATTCTTGTTTCGATGAAGTTTTGTATATACATAATAAATAAAAGAAAAAGGTGCACGATATGCTCCTATGCACGTGGTCCTAGAAAGATTTGGACCATATAGAGTCTATTGCTGCACGTAATATTTTACTTTATATTTATACAGTGACTGCTTGAACCCGTGACCGCTGGGTTTTGTATATATAAATAAAGGTCATTAGTTAACAAAACCTACCGATAAGCAGAAATTTGATTAAAAGAAAAAGGTGCACGATATGCTCCTATGCACGTGGTCCTAGAAAGATTTGGACCATATAGAGTCTATTGCTGCACGTAATATTTTACTTTATATTTATATAGTGGCTGCTTGAACCCGTGACCGCTGAGTTTTGTATATATAAATAAAGGTCATTAGTTAACAAAACTTACCGATAAGCAGAAATTTGATTAAAATCTTCAGTTGTGGCGAGGACGATGAGTGATATGAGTAGGAAAAAAAATGTGAGGATTCTTGCAGTTAACATAAACAACGGTTTAATCGCCATGGATGATAATGGTTTGTGAATCTCAAAAACTTACTCTAACAAGAAGTTTTTTCTTTATATTAAGTTTCTTCTATCCACTGGTCAAAACGACAAATCTAACTTTCCAACTTGTTTTTTTTACCAGATCAAAGTAATCAACGTAAGCTTCAAGTATCATAATTACTTATGCGACAAAGTTTTGCTTGATCAGCTAAAAACCCGAAATAAAAAGTTAAACAAGAATACAAAAAAAAAGTTCTTTGTTTTCTAGATAAATGGCAGGTTTTCGCTCCTTTCATATTTTAGTGCAGATTGTAAATTGCTAAGACTAATAATCCTCCAGGTGTATTTGATCGACTCTTTTTCAAGTCAATCATCAAAGAATTATTTAACAAAAATGTTTAACCAAACAATGAAATTTTAGTCAAAGCTAGAATTTAGAAGAACACGGGTTACTGATAATCAAAAGAATGTATAAAAGGAAGTAATTTAGGTAGCAAGAGAGAAATCAAAAGAAAAACAAGTAAACCAAAGTTTATTCCAATAGTGTTTCGTGTCCTTACAATTGATCAGATATCTCCCTTTTATAGATATCTTGGAGATATAAGTTTTGTCCAAATCATAATGAGGCTATTCTGAGTAATTAAAGACATTGAATGCTACGTTACATAATCATTACATTCAATACAAATTCTCTAACGTATTCCACATTTAATGCCTATTAAATGCCGTATCTGCACTCTTTTCTATTGTCAGATTCATTCCTTTTGATTCTCGGACATAAATAACTTAGATAGGTACGGGCGCTGAGTTATTTGAATAACTGTCCGTGCCTCTTCCTTTGCCATTTGCTCGTATCTGTTGCAACTCGTGTCTCTTGGCTACTTGTAATTCTTTGACCATTTGACTAGTCTACGTGTCTCGACACGTCACCTTTATATTTAAATACAATTTTTTCCAATACAGATAGTCCCCCCCCACTTTCCATTTATTCATCAGTTGAATATTTGGGAAGTGGATTTCATTAAAAGAGAATTTTTGTCACTATTAATGTTATGACAAAATTGACGCTTCAATTGTCGCTTCCATTTAATTCTCCGTACACATGTCATTTTTCCATTGGTTCTGCAGTTTTGCAGCCCTTTTCAAGAACGGCTCCACTATTCACGAAGTGCTAGTTATCATTATTATGGTCCTTCCATCACTGAACTTTTACCTTTGGCGGTTGCTTCCTTGTCTTTTACCACATAAAACTTATTGAACACTTAATTCCTCAAATCTCAGTTCACTTCTTCCTCACATTATTCTTCTTCGTCATGTCTTCACCAAACCCTAACCCTAGGAGAGTTCCCATTGTTGATACCTTCCCTAATGCCCCCATTAGGCATAGAAATGGAGGTAGGCTTCGTAGCTTAGGGTCTACTCATGGTGATGGTTCGTCTATACCTTCTCCTAGTTATGGTCCTTCTTCTAGGGGTAAAGAACCTTCTGAATCATTACGTGAGCCTTTAGTAAAGGAGATAGTCCCTACATAACTATCTTTTTACCATGATAGGGAATCTCTTAGAAACCAGGTTTCCACTTTAGATCGTGCTGATGCTTACCCTACTCAAATTACAGAAGTTTTGACTCCTGTAGTTCGCAAAGACTGCCATTGGAGTAATGATTTTCCCATTATTATCCCTAATCCAACTCAGAGATTACTTCTTACTTGACTGGGTTCTCTTTTGTTTATGCACACCCTTTCACTTTAGGGTTCAAACCATCTATTGACCCAGTCATTCTTGAATTTTGTCGTTTCTTTAATGTCTGTTTGGGTCAAATTGGCCCAATCATATGGAGGGTTATTGCCTGTTTGAGGCATTTACCCAATATGGCTGACGTTTCCTTTACTTTCCCTTACCTGATTCATCTTTACTCCCCTAAGCTTTTCCGTAATGGCGTTTTTACCCTAGTGGCCAGGAGTAAGAGGGTTTTGGTGAGCCCTGAAGATGACAAGGACCGTGGCTAGTATGCCCGGTTTGTTACTGCCCCCACTGTTGGCTTTGTGGGTGAGGATAACGTTCCCTTCCCTGAGAAGTGGAATTTTGCACGTAAGTCTTTTATCCTTCTCGTGACTTTTTTCTTCAAGTTTATCAACTTCTCTAATTTTGCCCCTTTTTTAGCAACCATGGGAGTTATGGAGGATATTCCCAATTTCCGTGGTTGGGTAGATAAATTGCTGAAGACCGCACCAATAGATGGTAGGTCTTGGAGAACACTTTCTAACCGTTACGGTTGGAAAGTAAAAACTCATGGTAAGAGTTTTTATTTCATCTTTCATGCATTATATTTCTTTATTGATCTAACTCCCATCCTTCTTTTTATCAGGATTTGTTATTCGAGGAGTTATTGCTAAAGCAGTTGCGGCCTATCGTGTCTCTTCGGGAACCCGTACTCCTTCGGGGTCCTGTATCTCTTTAGAAAGAGCCCGAGAAATAGTCTTGGGTTCTTCTTCTGCGAAAAGGAAAGCTGTTGAAGATAAAGACTCTGAAGAAGAGGAAGATGGGGGTTCCTTAGTGACGAGGTCACGAGCTAGGAGACACATCGTCTCTGATGACGAAGCTGAAGTTTCCCCTTGTCTTTCTGTTTCTCTTACCGAACTTGTTGAAACCCCAGTAATAATTCCTAACGGTGACGTCACTCCTCATGATACCCGTGAGTCTATTGATCAACTTTTCATCAGTGGTTTTGGTAGTGGAAGTTTAGGTCCTATTTTAGATGAAATACCCTTATCTTCTTTTTCAACTCCCGTGCCTGTGATTCCTTCCTTACCAGCCCCAGCTGTTTCTGTTCCTTCTTCTACTGTTTTCACTTCTTCTACCGCTCCTCCTTTGACAATTCCCCCTCTTATCGTTCATCATACGGAAGTGGGCTCTTCAAGTAGAAGTGCCGCTATGAGGAGGGTAACTATTGAAGTTCCTGCTGATAGTAGCCTTTTGAGGAAGTCAGGTCAGGCAAATGTATGATTGGAGCCTTTAATTGGCCCAATTGAAAAAACAAAGCTGGAGAGCCATAGTTCCTTGACTCTAATGAATGATATCGTGCATGCCACTTTGAAGGTATTTTCCTTCTCTCCCTTCTTTACCTTGTAAATTTTTTTTATCTTTGGGATTCTTATTTCCCTTCCTATTTTTAGGCCAATCTTATCGACACAGAAATGATGAATAAAATCCCTCTCTTGGAGAAGGTAGCATGTGATTCAGCGAAGATAGCACGTGATTCTCAGTTGGAGGCGATCAATTGGAAGGAACAATTTAAGAGTGCACAAATTGATATGAAAGATTTACAAGAGAGCAAGAGTACCTTAGAGAAGCAGGTGCGGGCTTTAACTTCAAAGTTAGCGGTTGTAAAAGCTTCTTCAAGCCAAGCAGAAAAAGAAAAAGAACGTCTCGAATCCTCCTTCTCAGAGCAACTATCTAAGGCCAGTGAAGAGAACAGAGAGTTGAAGGCTCTTTTGAGTCAAAAAGAAGTTTACGCTGGGGAGCTCGTGCAAAGCTTAACTCAAGCACAAGAAGGCCTTCAAGTCTCTGCTGATAAGGTGAGTGCTTTAGAGAGCTCCCACGCCTCTCTTCAAGCTTCTTATAACTCCGCCTTGGCTGAAAATGAAGAGCTAAAGAATGAGATTGCTGATTGGGAAAAGGATTATGAGATCCTTGAAGAAAAATCTGTTGTTGAGGTAAGTTGGGCATTTTTGAATTCACGTCGTGATACCCTAATTGAAGCTAGCCAAGAAAACTTCAACCTGGAGTCGGAGTTAGCTAAGATTAATGAAACCATTGAAAAAGCTCAGCAAACTCAAGACTTCCCTTCTCTCGTGGTTGAAGCTCCCGTGAATGTTGAAGCTGATACGAGTATCCCAACTCTTTCAAGCCCAATTGAGCCTGTTGCTGCAAGCCAAGTTGAAATCGCATCTGTTGATGCACCTGCCCAAATTGAGCCCGCTGCTATTGATGCTCCTACTTCAGTTCCACAAACTTCTCAGTGACCAGTTTTAATCATTTGAATGATTTTGTTTTTGTTTTTATTTTGGAAAATTGTAATCAAACCCTTAGCTTCATTTGAGGGTTGGTTTTGGAAACGCAAGTCCCCAAGTCTTTATGGGGCAATTTGTATAAACAATTTCATAGTTTTATGACTAAGTTCGTACTTAGTCTTCAGTTTTTAAGTATTAAGAAGTTTTTCATGTTATTATCTTAAACTTCTGTCTGCTTTATTCTTGCCTTTATTTTTAAGGACTTATAGAATAATTTGCATTTTTGTTCTTCAAAAATGCTTCTGTTAATCTCATGACTAACTAATTTAAACATGAGTTTTATAAAAGAGGGCCCTTTTATATTTCGACACTTAATGAAGAAGACGTCTCAACTTCATAATGGTGTTATCATACGATAAAAGAAATAGGGAACACATGTTTCCTTGAAATAACTTTGACAAGTTTTGAATAATACTTTACATGTATTTGAATTACATCTATAACTTTCTCGTAACTATTTTTCTTGTAACAGATTTTTACAAAAGAAGAATAATAGACACGGGGTTTTTCCTTATAACCCGTTTTAGTACATAGCCTTTACCCTAACTATAGTAAGGTTTTTCTTTGGCCTTAGCTCGTGGCTCCATCTCGTGACTTTGTGACTTTTACTCTGCACTTGACTCTTTTAGGTTTGATTTTTCCTCATTCTTCTTTGCCTTCTTTATACACATGTCTATGCATATTATGTAGTCCCCCAAGTGTTTGAGTGTTGAAGTATGAAGCCTCGAGCACTTGATAGTTTCTCTCATTTGGTCCTTTTCCTGAAAAGGAAAAACATACAGGACTCGGAGGTGCGATTATAGATGAAGACTGCTTAACCCATTTGAATTTCTATCAGAATAATTGTAACCCTAGGCCAGGAATTTTAGATTATTCTGTGTGCCTTACAGGTCGTGACTCATCATTTAGTGCAGGTTAGCTTTTTGCCTATCATCTAAAATCATTAGTAAAATTTTAA